TTTTTTTTTCTTCTTTCGGGGGCAGAGAAAGGGGGAAATTAGATGAGAGGGTTTTTCTTGCAATTTCTTCCCACAAGACTTATTGTTTACATATAATCGAACGTAACATACCAGCTAAATTACACTATCCTACAATTTGTTATTTCTCGATTAGGCCAATTGAAAAAATTCCGATGGCAAACGTTTGCACTGATAACACCACTCATTGGTCATTTTTAGTAAGTCGGTTCCCAAGGAGACCTATCGACCTGCGGGTCTCCACTAAGATACGCTGCCGGCGCAGCACTAGCCTTGTCCGCACCAAACCAAAAAAACGTGTTTTGTAGCCAAACCAACCTCCGTTAACTAGACCGTTACTCAGGCGCACGCACATTAGCAGACCCCATCTGGCACACACTATTATAAAATTCAATTTTATATATTTTCCCTCTCCAAATCGGCGCTTAAAATACTCACCTAAAACCCCATATCACTCTCTTTTATCACTCCTCGCCACCAATAATGGCACATCTGCGTGCTGATTTCAAGCAACTTGCACGCATTATATATATATTCAGATAAATTGTGTAGTATCTTCTAATCTATCTACTATGCTCCATTGATAACTCCTAAAACTTATATTGATCTGAGGAGCGACTATTTTTCTTCTCTTTTTTTGAGGGTTTTTTTTTTTCAGAGCGGACACTGCTTTAATGCTTTTTCCGATTTACTCCTTTTTCGTTTCACTTCTGAATCTGGAGCTCTGGCTGTGTGAATCTCATGTCGCCAGTTTCCGGCGGCTGATCAGCTATTCATTTGTTTTGTGTTTGTTTTCGCCGGTGAGAATCTGCCGTCGTCTTAGCGTCTTCAGGCGAGCTGAAGCTGCGAATCGTTGAGGTTTGACGTTGATGTGCAGAGAATAATCAGGCTGAGAGTTGACAAAAAATTAAGAGAGAAAAGAGAGAAGAGAGAGAAAATCAGAAAGCTTCGTGTGTGGATTTCTTTCACGTGACTAGAGATGCCGCATCGAACGACTTACTTCTTCCCGAGGCAATTTCCTGAGGGCAGCCCCAATCAATCGTCAAAGTTTGTGGCGGATCACGAGAACAAATTTTGTGCCACTGATGTGAAGTCGGAGGATTTTCAACTCGAGGGGGTCGCTATCAAATCGGATGCAGGCGAAAGTGTCTCCGTCCATGGAGTCACGGGGGAGAAAATCCCCGTGAAACAGCTGTCCGCCTATGTAAAGTGGCTTTCCGATAAGAAAAAAAAGGAGAAATCACGGGCGGGGCATCTGGGCCCCGTGAGGGCGGCCAGGTTGTACGAAATCGATGATACCATCGAGGAGGAGGAAGAAGTGAATCAGCCGCTGCTGACACTGCCGCCCGCTGATGGCCGCCGGCTTTCGAGCAGCGGGAGTAATTTCAGTGGCGGTGTTGTGGAGCAGGTACAGGGTAAGGAAAGAGGTCTGGAGGGGCAGATTTCTCTGCCGAGGTTGTCAAGCGCCGGGAGCACGAGCTATGCCGGAAGTTTGTTTTCGGGGACAACGTTGGACGGAACTTGGTCGCCGGTCACTACTGGAGTGCTCAAGGAAGATACTACGGAACAAGGCAGTGGGGCCAGGAAGAATGTAGGCAGTGGGGTAGCCCAGAGGCAAAAGGAGGGCTATCACTTACAGATTATGCTCACCAGAAGGCTTACTGAGCAGGCCTCGCTCACTGCGGAGCCTTTACTTCTTCCCGAGTGTAGATTCGGTGGATCTTCAGATCCTGAAACGGTTTCCTATCGTCTCTGGGTATGGCTTGGCTAATATTTGTATCGGGGACTAAGTTGCAATTTTGTATTGAGATTGAGTAAAATTGGTTGGAGCTTTTGGAGCATCTACTACTATAATAACTTGAAAGATATTGCAAAAACCCCATATGAACTCTAATTATTTTACGGGTATACGAAAACGTCCATATTTCTTGCATTGCTGGGCGAATTTGAATTTTATGTTAATAGAGCAAATAAATTCCTGGTGCTTTTTATGTATAATAATAGTGAGATCTGAGGTCACAAATGAACTTAATAAGCTTATAGGATTATTCTCATTGCTTGCTATAGGTCAGTGGTTGCCTGTCTTACTCTGACAAGATTTCAGATGGGTTCTACAACATTTTGGGGATGAACCCTTATCTATGGCTAATGTGCAACGACTTGGAAGAAGGTAAAAAAATGCCTTCATTGATGGCACTAGAAACAATTGACCCGGAGGACACACCGGTAGAGGTGACTCTCGTTGATCGACATGGAGACTCGAAGCTCAGAGAGCTTGAAGATAAAGCTCAAGGGATTTATTTTTCAGCAGAGAGTACACCTGTCCTGGCTGAGAGACTTGGGAAACTTGTAGCGGAGCATATGGGGTAACTAATGGATATACTGGTTTAATAGTCCACATGCTGTATTTCTTATACTGATAGAGTTGTGTTTTTAAAATTGTAGGGGCTCTTTCCCTATGGAGCAAGGTGACTTCAGTCTTGGCTGGAAATTGATGAACCAGAGATTGAAAGATTTCAACAAGTGCATTGTGATCCCAATCGGTAGTCTGTCTATAGGGCTCTGTAGGCACCGAGCCATACTGTTCAAGGTGGATGCTTATCCCGTTTGAATTGAAAATTCTTTTTGGTATTTCAAATTTTCAGTGTGTCTTTTTATTCCCCTTCTGCTTTTCTTGTTCATTTTGTCTTTCTTTTGTTATTTCTTTTTCTTTTTCCTTCAATGTTGACTGTGTATGCGGATAGAGAACATTTACCATGTGCCTACATCTGCTCTACCAAAAAATGATTAGAATTAACTTTTGCTACATTTCCGGCATGATGAAGCTTTATGTTTCCCGACATCTCAAATTCACTTACGTGGGTAGTTGGCATTATATTACTGATGGTCGGTTAATCTTTGTTTTCCTGTACGCTAGCTAAATGCCAGCCTGTCTATTTTGCGACATAAGCTGAGACTGGTGGAGAAGGCGATAGAGGGTCATATGATCCTAGCACTATTTACATATATCTTTATTGCTAGAAAATAAATGTCTTAAGATGGCCAAGTGCAATATTAACATTCTTATTTGTGAACATTTTCTCTTAAAAGTACCAGTATTCTCGATGGATTATAACAAAAGTTGCATTGCTTGCTTCTTGTTCAGAAACTCGCAGACTATGTAGGTTTGCCATGTCGGATAGCTCGTGGTTGCAAGTATTGCATTTCTGACCACCGATCTTCGTGCCTTATCAAGATAGATGATGAGAGGAAGCTTCCAAGGTATTTATACATTCTTCCTTTATGCTGCTCTGAAATTAAAGGAAAAGTGCTACTCAGATTTCGTCTGACATGATTGTTGGTTTTGTGTCCATCACTTTGCCAAAATTTGTTTTCGGTCATTTTACCCCTTATAATGAAATTACATTCTTCCTTTTTCTTTAATGAATTTGGAAACCTTGAGGGTTTCTTTTTAATTTCAAACATCTTTGATGTTTGACATGTAGAGTTTCTGCCCATGTTTCCACAAACATATGTGTCAAAACTTTTATAGAACTATATATACATGCCATTTAATTGTACTGTGGTCCCAATTTGTACAAAGGAGAATTTTCTAGAAAATAATGATATAAACTGCACTATATGGATCAAGGTTGGAGTTGGAGAAATGCGAAGTGATTTTGATTGTACGAAACCAACATTGGTCAATATGTTTGTGATCTAGTTAGTGTCAGCCTGACGGAGGTATCATGTGTGGGCTAGGATCATTTGTGCTTTGACGAGTAGATGCCTTGTGCTAAAGCTTGACTCTCTGAGCTTGGAACTTTTATTTACCTAAATTTGATGTAGTTTGAACTTGGGCAGTACATTAACCAGATCAAGCATAAGCATAATCTGAAGTTTGAGAAAGATCCAATTCAATTTTTCAATGCTACTCATGTTGTTCAATTTTTAACACTGAATCGGGGTAAGCTCTTTAAGTTATTCAAGTAGTATCTTGGCTGTTAGCGTCTTCATCCATTCATTTGGATCTTAGCAGGGAACTTGTGGTTGATCTAGTTGGGAAGCCAGGAAACCTCCATGGCCCAGACTCATCAATCAATGGAAGTATACTTTCCGTACCTTCACCGTTACAAATATCACATCTAAAAGAATTTCAGCAGGATGGGAAGAGTGAGGTTGATTGTCAATTGCTAAACTCAAAGTATGCTAGTGACAAAAACAATCCTTTCTATGCAGGTGTGTTTTATAGATGCCTCTGTCGCGTTTCTTTGGTATTAAAGCGAAACACAATCTGAGTTATCAGTTTGGTCGGGTATAGTGCTGTAGTGTTTCTATTAATTGTTTTAATTATTTATTTTTTTAGTTGGCAGTATGAATGGTGGCCTGGCCATGACCAGCTATAGTTTTTGAAATCTTCAGTCAATTACTAAGTGCTTTTGTGTTGAATTATTAGATTATGACATGCATGTCAGATTCACTTTGTTTGCGGCTGTACTTCAAGTTAATGCATCTTATGTTCGGTTGGCTTTAAAAGATGTCCTTGTTTACATAATGTGTTAACGCATAGAAGTTTTTCTTCAATTACCACTTACTCGAGGGATTGTTTTGCAGTCAATCTCGGTAATACAAAGGATACTATTATTCCAGAAAATGCAAAAGATGGTGGGTGCACTCCAGTAGTTCTTGATGCTGCGATATCTGAGGACCATTCCAAGGAAGGAGGTGATCGAATTATTATAAAACAGACATACAAAAGGGAAGTTGTTTTAGCAAGAAATGCAGTTTCGACTCAAGCTGAAAGACATCCTGATATAGTAACCTTCTCTGAAAGCAAAGATCCTTTGGAGGCGAATAGCAAGTTTCAAGATCATGGGAAAAACCTTGCTTCAAACATTCCAAGATATTTGAATCTAGAGCCTTCTCTTGCAATGGATTGGCTTGAGATCTCATGGGATGAATTGCACATTAAGGAACGCGTGGGGGCTGGTATTTTATTTAATTCAGTCTCTGTAACTTCGTACACATTATTACGGTGTCTTTTGAAACTATGGCTTATGAATTAATTTTCTTTTTTTCTTTTATGATCATAGGATCTTTTGGCACAGTGCATCGGGCTGAATGGCATGGATCGGTTAGTATTATAAAGCCCTGGATATACTGGCATGTGCTTAATGTTTATGTACGAACTTTATTCAGGTAGGACGAATATAAAATTCTTTTGTAAGAAATGGTCATGGCTTTGCTTTCTAAAACCATCAGCATAAAATATATTGTGAATAATAATATAAATAAGATAAGGAAAGAAGTGACTCATAACATCTTTGAGTTTTCTTAGTTTGGTAATAGGTTTTATTTAGATGCTAATTTCAGTAGTGTTGCTTCATTTAATTCGTCTTATTCAAATCTTTTAGCAACAGAATTTGATATGATATTGGAAGTTACTCCTTGAGAGAAAATTGTGGAGTAATTAGTATAATTCAACTCTTTCCACATTTGTATTTATGAACTTGAAATCTGATTCTGGGGTTTGTGGTGTTTAAAACGTCAATCCATTGAAATTCATTTGTCAGTGCAGGATGTGGCCGTTAAAGTCCTAACTCTCCAGGATTTTCATGATGATCAATTGAAGGAGTTCCTACGTGAGGTATGGGTAGTATGCTTAGATGAATAATTATAGTTTTTCATGAATTTCTGTATGATATGGTAGGCAATAAATAATTATAGTGATTTCAGACGCATCGCGAAATGTTACCATCAATCCTGTTCAATAGTTAAACGTCGAAATTAACTAACCTAATGATCATAGAGGTTAATTTAATACTAAGATTATTATTGATCTGACAGTTTGCAGCAGAACTTCTTACCAGAAGAACTGTCTTTTTCTGAATTTAATATTTCATGTTTGGCTGATCGGGCTACTGGAACCCATGGTCGCCCCATTTTAAAATCTATTTTTTAGCTGAAATAGGAATGTAATGTTCCAATAGTGGTGAAAATAGATTGATGTGCAACCAAAGAAATTCTTAAAGTGCTGTAATGAGTTTAGAAGAGCTTGTCTTCTCATATTTACAAATTTTTCTCAACTGTGTGTCACTTAACTTTTGTTGATTTCCACTCTGTCTCTACATCTTTCTGAAGGTTGCTATTATGAAACGTATACGTCATCCGAATGTGGTACTGTTCATGGGTGCTGTCACGAAACGTCCACATCTATCTATTGTAACAGAATACTTGCCAAGGTGATTAAGAGTTGAATTCTTATTACCTGAAACTTGATAGTTGATATGAAGTGAGACTGCATTCTAAAATATGTAACTATTTGAAATTTTGTGTAAACAGAGGCAGTCTATTCCGACTGATACACAAGCCAGCTGCTGGTGAAATTTTAGATCAGAGGCGAAGACTGCGCATAGCTTTGGATGTGGTTTGTCATGATATTCAATTTTCTCTATTTATTTTTTCTTTCATTTTCTTTTTCTTTTTCCATTTTTTCTCTTTTTAAGTTGATTTTGTTATTTAGGCAAAGGGAATCAATTACCTTCATCGTCTTACACCACCGATCGTCCACTGGGATCTGAAGTCGCCAAATCTGTTGGTTGATAAGAATTGGACAGTGAAGGTATTTTTCTTTGTGCTTCCCCCTAGGTTTTTCTAGTTAATTCTGTATCTGGCTTTTCCGTATTCTGCACTATAATATGATTTTTAGGTATGTGATTTTGGCTTATCGAGGTTCAAAGCAAACACATTCATATCATCAAAGTCTGTTGCTGGAACAGTAAGTCCCTCCCTCCCTCTCTCTGTCTCTATTGAAGCAATATGTTATGTAATGCCGTCATTCCATCTTAATTTAGTTACATAGGAGGAACAAAGGGTGCCTGTCTGAGGCACCATGTGTGATTGGAGTCCATTACTTTGTGTTTCCTATGGAATCATTACCATAATAATCGGTACAACCTAAGTAAAATTGTTTTTGAAGTACGAGACATCTACAATGTAAATCAATTGTATGTTCCCAATGCCATTTGCCAGTGACTGCACAAACTGCACAATCTATCATCCAAGGTCACCTGCATCTGTGTAGAAAAGATAGATCGAAGAATGAGATAAAGATCTATTATTGTTGTCTTTTTTGGCATTGCATATGATTGATAGTCTATTGTTTAAGTTAAAACCTTCAATTTTTATCCAATTCTCTAACTTCCTAATGCATCCCATACTGTTGTGATTACAATATTGCCGACAGTAAATCAGCCATTTTCATAAAATATGCTTGCAGGTAGAAACATGTTAGACAGTGCAATCCACAATTACATGTCACAAGTGTAACTCTCTTCCTTTTCATTTCAGCCTGAGTGGATGGCCCCCGAATTCCTTCGTGGAGAGCCCTCCAACGAGAAATCTGATGTCTACAGCTTTGGAGTTATTTTATGGGAGCTTGTTACCATGCAACAGCCCTGGATTGGTCTTGGTCCTGCCCAGGTAATTTGTCCAAATAATTGTGTTGTTGGACAGGTCATGAAAAGTTGCTCCTCAAGCTGGCCTAGTTATTTCATTTGGAAATACAAATGCTCTCTTATTGTATAACCAATTCCCATGACTTTATGTTTACCTATTAAATGCAATTCTTTCAAGGGTTATTTGTGGACGAAACAATAATGAAATGTCGTTGATGTTTAGTCTTAAAATGAAATATTTTTCTCTTGACATTATAAATATCCCTACAAGTATCTTATAAAACCACGCTTCGAAGGGATGTTGCAGTTTTGGTAATAACCCTTTTATACTGCATATTTGTCTGTTTAAAAATTTGTCAGGGCTTTTCTGTAACCAGAATACTTCAAGGAACATCTTTTTATTCTTTTTGTAAATATCCATTAATCCTATTGCCCTTGTGTATTTTCCTCTTCGAAATTGTTTATCTAGTGATGAAAGATACAATATTATTCGGAAGATAAAAATTTGCAATGTGGTAGACGATAAGTTTTTGCAAATTTGTAGGTGGTTGGAGCAGTTGCTTTCCAAAATAGGAGGCTTCTGATCCCACAAAATACCTCTCCCATGTTAGTGTCTCTGATGGAGTCTTGCTGGGCAGAGTAAGACATGATTGCTGTTTAGTTGTTCGTTTGAAAGTTTTTGATTAATTTTTGGTTCGAAAATAAATGGTTTTGTTTTGCAGTGACCCCACACAACGACCCTCGTTTGTCAACATAGTCGACACTTTGAAGAAATTGCTGAAATCTCCATTGCAGTTGATACAAATGGGCGGACGATGAGACGCCACTTCTCTTCTTTCGCCGTTTTCTGTCTCAAGGTTATTAGGATGGTAGCCATGGATAAAGCAATTGTTATTTAGCAATTTTTTTTTTCATTGGGATTGCTGCTTCAATATACAAGCAATGACATTGGAGATACTGATAAGAAAAATAAAATAAAAGTTTGAGGAATAATTTTTCTCAGCAAAAAATGCTGTTTTAGTCTGATGTGAATTAAACTAGCTGAACTGTATCATGGAATGAACCCATTTTGCTTAATGTAAATTTGTGTGATTACAACATGAGATTGGGCATGATATAATCAAGCAAGGATGGCCCGTGCTATATATTGTATTTTAATTGGCCAAAGTACATAACTAATCCATTTTAGTTTCTCTTTTACATATACTAACATAGCCAAAAGTACATAACTAATCCATTTTAGTTTCTCTTTCACATATACTAACATATACTAGTACAATACCCGTCTACTACACAGGTGTTGAGTTAAGAAATATATGATAAAAATTAATGTTAAAATAAAAAATTTATTTAAAAACATTGATGGACTAATTAATGAAAAAATAAAGAAAAAGACAGTGTAGAAAGTGGGTTGTAAATCATAATTTAGGAGAGGGTTGTAAATCATAATTTAGGAGAGAAGTATGAGAGAAAATTATAAGATGGTATGATTGCTACTTGCTCAAACAAATAATGAAATATGTACTAAGAGAAAAAAAAAAATTAAAAGAACTAAATGTACACTTATCTAGTTTAAAAAAAGTTACTTGTGTCTAATACTAAAATTAATTCCAGAGCAAAAATGAATATACAAATAATATTACGAAGCATAGATTTTCGTCATGTCAGCATCCGAAGCTTGTGAGTTTGTCACATAGACTCAACATGTTTTGAATTAATATATAGGGAGGAATAGAAGACTATTGTTCAAATCCCAATATAGTATTCCTTTCATTAGGTAATGCGCCACTTTTTGTTCTCTCTATTTAGGGTGGGCATTGAAAAAATTAAATGAATACAGAAGCATATGGTATGTCTAACCTCATTCCTAAAAAATTGATGGAATCTCTCTCTCTCGATTTCCAATTACTAGTGTAGAGCACAAATTTTAAAGTCATTTATCCAGCATTATAATTATAAAAATGAATAAAGAAAACTGTACAGGATATATATAGTACGTAACTTGTGAGAGATACGTGATATATTTATTTGGGGATTATTATACTATAAGATACAATATTCGATAAAAGTTTTACAATGCACGAAAATAAATATAAATAATGTAAATATTTAAATACATACACGATATGTAGAATAAATAAGTCAAATTGTAAATCTGAAAATATAATTAAAAAAATTAAAAATATATTTCACTAAACATGTACAAAAATATCTAAATACATATACGAAAATAAAAAAAATAAAATATACGTTTCAGATTTCAAAATTAAAACAAAAATTCAAATAATTTGGTTTACAATTTTATCATGCAGAACCAACTCGAGATATGATTTGTATGTGTTGCCCCAGTCTTGAAAAAACATTCTCACACTTTGAACTTTGAGCGTCTATTAGATCTATTGACTTGTTTAATTAACCCGAATTATTGATTCATTGTTTTGAATAAAAGACTGAGTGGGGATATTTTTTGTTCGCAGGAGGTTGACAGTGAGGAAGATGATGGCTCGATATTTTGAGATTTGTAATTTACATATATATTGTTGTTAATATTTTTATTAGAAAATCTGAATCTGAATATACAGAAATCGGTTGCAAAATCAGAACAGATTTTCATACAATTAGATAATAAATAAAGTATTTTTTTTATTTTGGTAAAGATTTTACGTACTTTTTTTACTTATCAGATGTTATGGGTTTTTTTTTTGTTAAACCGATTTTATGGTTATAATACAAATACAATTAGAGGATTGAACAAAATCAGAACAGATTTCTATACAATTAGATAATAAGAAGGAATTAGATAAGGAAAAGAATGAATTAGATAAGGAATTTTGAATCTGCCTTTTTTTTTAGTATAGGTAGACTTTACGTACAAATTTTGACTTCACCGATTTTATGGAATTTGTTTTGACAAAATCGATGTTAATATGGAATAAGACAAATAAATAAAGCCTTATTTTATTTTAGTAAAGATTTTGCGTCCTTTTTTTTACTTATCAGGTGTTATGTGATTTATTTTTGTTAAATTGATTTTATGGTATATAAGACAAATAAATAAAATAATTAAATAAAATTTTGGATAAAAACAACAATGCGTTAATTACGTTGACTTTTCAACCTATTAAATTTGATAAATAGGATACCCTATTATATAAGTATAGATTCTCTACATAAAAAAAAAATAAAAATCCACATTTGAAACCATTTTCTCTCATATCTTGTCTTTCGAATTCCTCTCATATTAACTCAATTGCAAAATCGAGTCAAGCGTAAAATATCAACCAAACTAAAATTGAATTAAAGAGAACCCCAAAAGGAGAGCAATCGACACCTAGGTAACCTCGCTAATCGTATTGGATTTGAGCAGGATGCTGCAGATGCACGCAAAGCAATTGATGAGGCATTGGAGAAGATGGGTTTCCTGACGGTGGAAGACAAGATTGCAGTTGGTGTACGACTCAGTGGAATGACTAAAGAGTTGGACTATTTCTTAAGCTTAAAAGAGGCCGACAAAGCGGTGATGGTGCAAATGATTCTAGAAGGAAAACTTTAAAAGACTGACAAAGAATTTTATAATATACTATTTTGAGTATTATGGAATTGGTTGTGTATTTTGCAGACTAGACTGGACTTAATTGAAATATGATCTATATTTTGTTTACTATGGAACAAGTAATTCTCTAGGACTCTGTTCTTATGGGTTGGTTTTGATTGTAATATAACTTTATGTTGAACAAGATGTAGTAGCTAAATAGCACATATTTTGAATTTTGTGTAAATCTATTTTGCACTCAGTTATTTTTTGTGTTTGCAATCCACCAAAAAAAAAAAA